GCTTCTAGGAGAACTTGCTTATTTCAGATTAGAAAATGGGCCTTACTAATCTGGGGCCCAGGAGCCCTTAAACAGGATTCCAAAGGGCATGAGCCCTAAGCCACGTATCCTGGGATTGGAAGAAAAGGGGCTCCTTTTGGAGCCCAGGGACACACTTAAGAAGCAGCCCAGATCACCCTACAAGCCTTGAACTGGTGGCTGGGAAGCCCTTGCACTCACTTCTCTGGGCCTCAGAGTAGACTCCTGGGCCTCATCGTCTCCTCGGTACCTCGGTACCTCGTGGTACAGAAGAGCCTGAGGAGGCAGCGGCAGGAAACAATGGTAGGCATGGGGTGGGAGAAACCACGAGAGGTGGAGGCACATGCCTGTCACCCCGGCTCTAAAGAGGCTGAGGCAGGAGGACTGGTGCAAATTTGAGGTCAGCCCGGGCTACATAGGGAGTTCGAGACCAGCCTGAACACCATAGTGAGACTCTGTCTCAAAAACCTGACAAACAAAAGAACATGGAGTGAGAGTAGCCCCTCAGCGTCAGAAGTTGGCTGCCATTGGCCAGAGCGCTGACCCCTTCCCACCAGAACTGGGCCAGGGCAGGTGGAGGTGAGGTGCGCAGTGTGTGCCACAAGGTGTGGATGTTCTCAGCAGCTCCTTCCTCAGCCAGGCTTTTTGCAGCTCCGTGATTCTCACAGCCAAGAATTGTGCCCGCATCCACATGCTGAAATGTACTGCAGGAAGTTAGTGTCACCTCTGCCAGTCTGCTGACAGATGTAGATTAGGTACTTGGGAGTCCCTTGACTTGAGCAGAGAGGTGATTGCAGGGAAAGAGGAACTCAGTCACAGGTAGGAAGTGTCGCGGTCATCCTTGGGGCATCTTTCCGCTTCTGCAGAGTGCAGCGGGCTAGCTCCTGGCTTACTGAAGAGGCAGCACAATTGCACACCCAGATCAGGGCCCCGTGACCTGAGGTGCAGGGTAGTTCATGGTGCGTGGTGTCTCCTTGGGGTTCAGAGCTTTCACTGGAGTGACGGGAGTGGGGAGACCATATCGTCACTGGGGGTTTTCTGCTGCTGATACTGTACCTGTGGCTTCTCTGTGCCCCCGAGCCTGGAGTAAAGAGAGAGTGGCGGCTTTACCCCTTCCTGTGGAGAAATCAGAGTATATGGAAGGCAGAAGCGATGAGAAAGGGTGGGCTCACCAGGGAGCGTGGGGTCGGGAGGCTGGGGAGGCTGGGTTTTGTGTTGGATCTGACAGAGGTGGGTTTTGGGAAGGGAGCAGCTCGTCTGGTTTGCCTCTCCCGTTTCCTTTGTGGTAAGGAAAAGCTGCCGTCCTTTAGGGTGCTGTGTGAGAGAGTGTGACCCGCAAGGCGAGGGCGCCCGGTCAGTGTCAGCAGAATGCGCTCCTGTCAGCATTGTCCGCTCACAAAGCCTTCCCTGTAGATGACCTCATCTGAGCGTCCTGACAAAGGCGCCAGTATTAGACCATTCTGCCTGTGCTTTGGACTCGCACTGCGTCCCAGCCACGTGCAGCTGGGCAGGTTGCTTACCCTGCTGAGCCTCAGTGCTCTCCGAAGAGCATCATAAGCACGAAGCAGCGTAAGAAGTGGAGGTGGCCGATGCCATTGCCAGGTTGCTGGTCAGCCGGCCATTGGGTTCCACAGCTGCAGCGTGACCCTGGATCACCTACAGTGTCTGTGTTGGTCTTGTTTGTGTGCTCAGCGGGGTCCGGTGCCCGTGTTCAGTACTCAGGCTGTGACACGATCAGGGTGGCATCTGTGTAACCAAATGACAGACTTGAACATGGGAGTGGGGTCTGGTTCGCCCTCTTATTAGAGCAGACTCTCAAATGCTTCTGTGTTTGTAATATCGCCCTGAGCCCCTGATCACTTCATTTGTTCACATGCTTACCGAGTTCTGCAAGACTTCAAGCCTGTGAACGTGATCTCAACACTTTGGTGTTACAGACCCTGTTGATGTGGTAGAAAACTATAGTCCCTTTCCCAGGAAAAACGTTTTGTTTTATGGAAATATTTCAAATTAAATTGTAGTCATAAAGCTCTGAATGCTGTGTCATCCATTGCCAAAAAATATACATTCCCATATATAACCTCATTAAATATTATTAAGAAAATACTTTCTTAATATGATCTAATACCCATTCTATTTTTAAATTTCTTTTGATAGCCCCCCAATTTTTATAGCTTTTTTTAACGCGAGGATGTAGACAAAGTTTATCTTTTGTATTCGGTTATTTTTCTTTTATGACGTAGTTTTTTTAAAAAACCAGGCAAATTTTTGTGTGGAATTTCCAACATTCTAGACTTACCTACTGTTTCATTATGTGGTTTGACTCTTCCATCAGCAGTTTCTCTATGGTAACAGACTACAGTGTTCCTTTAAAATATGATAACGCTCATATTTTATATTTCTACAAACTGGAAGTTAAATGTTTGATTAGATTTCTTCAAGTAAAGTCAAGCATTTTTGCAAGAAAACTTTATCGGTGAGGTTGTAGTTTATAGGGTGCCCCACTGGAAAGTGTGCGCGTTTGCCTTCTGTGAGTGAGCGCTGATGGTCCGGCCCTCCGTTAAGGTGACTGGTAGGTTGCTTCCCCATCAGAGTGCATTGGGAAGGAGTCGTTGGGTGTTTCTTTGGCACCACAGGGAACACCCTGTCCACCTGAACCTTTTACTCAAGGGATGATCCTATGTTACAGTGTCAGCTGCAAAATAGTGACTTTTTTTCTTTCTTCTGTTTTTTATTTTGTTTTCAAACCTGGGCCTAGGTTAAGGTCAGCTCAAAGGTGGCATATCTTATGTGGAAGGGAACTGTAGCTAAGCTCTTCATAGTCCTTTTATTCTTCCAGTAAGTTGCAAAATAAATTCCCACCCATGAAGAAAACACTTTTTGTTCCCCAACAGTAAAGCAACTCAGCTTTAAAACCTCGAGACCATTCAGCAAAGTAGGTGAGAGGGGCTCCAAACCCACAGCATCAGCCAGGACCACTTCTTTCCTCTTTCCAAACCCTTTGCATCAGCCTTTGCAACCGAAGCAGTGCAGGGCAGACGTGCTCTCTCAAAAGTGAAACCGGGGATATGGACCCGGCCACTCCTGTCATTTATACCAGCCTTACTAACACTCTAGGGACTTGATGTTACCTTCTTCTGCACTCTTCATTTGAGCTTTGTAGGTACATGTTTTTCCATACCTGTTACGCTTCTTGAAATCACACGTACGCATCTCAATCCATGTGTGCTGCTACTTGGAATTTATTACCAGTCCAGTGGTATAATAAACCCTTACGTATATGTAGTACTTCAACTTGATAAGCACTTTGTTTTGTGTTTTGTTTTGAGACAGGGTCTCACTGTGTATTCTACGCTGGCCTTGAACTCACTGTAGCACAGGCTGGATTTGAGTTCATGTGATCCTGCTGCCTCAGCTTCCCAAGTGCTAGGATTACAAGTGTGAGCCATCATACCCAGCTCAGATAAAATACTTTTAATACCCTGTCACATTTGAGTGGAAAAGAGTAGAGGAATAGTTCCTCCTCAGGGCTTGTAGACTGGGAGTTTTATCTCTGTCCGTTAGTGTCGCTGCTGGCGCAGGGCGCTGCACTCAGTGGAGGGGCTTTGGTTGTGTACACAGTAGTGGTAGCGATTTGCCTCGTCCCAGCTGCTTCTCCCCAGCCTTGCAGCTGGCTGTGTCCCGGCGACTGCTCTCGTTACCGCTGTGGAGCCACAGCAGAGACCCCTCCCATCCTGCCCAGGACCAAAGTTTCTGTGACTCCAGCACACGCGTGGCACTGTGACGGGCTCTGCTCACTTACTCTCTGCCACTTTCAGTTTCACCTTTTTTGTGCTTTGAACACCCACTGGATTTAGGAACAAAGGGTCTGGGTTTTTTCTTAGATTTCCCTCTATGTAGCAGGTTTATGCTTAGTTTTCAACATATTTCCTTCATATAAGCCACCTAGAAACCCTTGGGGTAAGCGTCATTCTTCCCGTTTTATGCATGGGTACATTGAGGCTCAGTATTGAGCTGACTTTGCTGTTGTCACAGCTTTTGGTCAGATGTGCTGACCCTTGTGACCTCAGACAGGAAGTGGCCCAGGCTGTGAAAGTTAACGGGAGCAGAGTCCTTTCTGGCACTGACCCTCTGTGCTCCTTGGAAGGCCCAGCCCCCTGCAGCACAGTACCCACAGGTGCCTGGGGTTCCCTCGAGCTCAGCGGTCACTGTCCTCCCGTAGCAGCACAGAGCAGCCAGGCTAGTATGATGCGGGAGTTGCAGCTGAGAACCAATCCAGCGTGGCCAGGCTGTGTCCTGCTGATGGCTGTGGATAGGTAAGAGTCTAACTTCCTAAGGAAGTGAACCGCGCCCAAACCACAGGGCAGCCCCAGGAGCCAGTCCCCAGGGAGACAGCACTCAGACCCCTGGTGCTTCCTGAGCTGTGGTAGAGCACCTCAGTGCTCTCAGCCAGTGCTGGCAGGCCTTTCAGAACCCTCGATGCTACCAGGTAGCTGTGGCCGGCGAGTCCTTCACAGCTGAAACCTAGAGGAGCAAACCAAAGGGCGCTCTTGAACATCAGAACCCTGGGGCTGGGTTTGCAGCTTGTGCGCTGCACGACTGAGAGGGCACTCCATGCAGGTAGTGGGCATTTGTTCCGCCTGTGCTGCAGCAGCAGGTAGCGAGTGACCCTTCTGTCACAGTGGTGCATCAGAGCAGCTTGTGGCAGACAGGAGGGGAGTCTTGAGGCCAGACTGCCTTCCTAGCAGCGGGGTACATACTGGAGGCAGCAGCTCAGCTCTTCCCCGCTGGGCCACTCACTCTGTGCCTCGGGTTTTGTCCACGGCACGAGCTGGACCGGGTTGGGAGGCTGCCCTCTGCCTGTGGCTGCATGGCTCTTGAGCTGATGGTGTCAGCTGGTCAACTGCTGGAGCTGGCAGCTCTGCATGGCTGCCCCCGCAGCTTCGCCTGGCCTGCCCTTGACTTCTTGTCTGGTCTCCAAGGAGGAGAAGCCCCGCCAGTGAACGGAGGCTGCACTGGTGCGGGGTACGATGGCCACGTCAGCCCCGCTGCGAAGTCTGGAGGAGGAAGTGACCTGCTCCATCTGCCTCGACTACCTGCGGGACCCTGTGACCATTGACTGCGGCCACGTGTTCTGCCGCAGCTGCACCACTGATGTGCGCCCTATGTCGGGGAGCCGCCCTGTCTGCCCACTCTGCAAGAAGCCTTTCAAGAAGGAGAACATCCGGCCTGTGTGGCAGCTGGCCAGCCTAGTGGAGAACATCGAGAGGCTGAAGGTAAACAAGGCCGGGCAGCCGGGAGACACAGCCCAGGAACCACAAGACACCAAGCTGTGCGGACGGCACCAGGAGAAGCTGCATTACTACTGCGAGGACGATGGGAAGCTGCTGTGTGTGATGTGCCGGGAGTCTCGGGATCACCGGCTGCACACGGCCGTCCTGGTAGAGAAGGCCGCCCAGCCCCACAGGGTAAGTCTGGGCCACATCTGCCCCACACCTGCCTCAGGATGCCCTGTCCTGTGATTTCCTGTGGGCGAGGCCTAGCTAAGCCCCTGAAGGGTTCTTCCTGGCAGAGGACCCAGCCTTCGCCCTCCCCACGACCCTAGACCAGAGCATGCATCTGTCTACCGCTTGTCTTTCCCCAGGAAAAAATCCTGAACCACCTGAGTACGCTAAGGAGAGACAGAGACAAAATTCAGGGCTTTCAGGCAAAGGGAGACGCTGACATCCTGGCCGCGCTGGTAAGTGCCCCTGCGGAGGCGTGAGCGGCTCGCCTGTGTGGGCAGGACTCTGGGGAGTCAGTGGCCGCTGGTGGTGTTCATTCTCTGAGTAGCGTGAGGAGGTGTTGGCCTGGCAGCCGGCACCCTGGGCTTTAGGCTGAGCTATGCCTGTGTAAGCCAGCTGTGTGCTTCAGGCTTTGGGCCTTGCTGTCAGCAGGGTCCCTTCCTTTCTCTACGGTCAGCTCAGCCCTGTGTCTGGCCGCTGTAGCTTTCCCACTTGGGAACTGAGGAAGGCCCTGCTCCACACTCCCTTTCAGAGTGGGAAAGACATGGTTTCCTGAGAGTGCGGGGCAGCCAGAGGATTTGATAGGAGGGAGCCGGCTGCAGGGAGAGCAATGCCAGAAATAGCCTGAGTTCCAGGAGCAGTACAGGCCCGTGTGTGGCTGCTTGCACTTGGGCGAGGCGGGGGCAGGAAAGGCCATGTCCCTGCGCACACACGTTCAGGTTCACTGAGAAGACGGCTGCAGTGGCTGAGCAGTCCCGAGTTCGGTTCTGGGCTCAGGAGGCAATGACCTGGGCTGACTCTCACTGGTCAGCCGTCTGCGAGGAGGGTGGCGCTGGGCCACCTGACAGTGTCTCCTGCTTCACAAGCTGTAGAACTCATGAGAAGGGGCCGGGCACTGTGCCCCTGACTCTTGAGTCCAGAAGGCACTACCCTGTCCCCTCCTGGCCCTCACAGACAAAGCTGCAGGAGCAGAGGCAGTACATCATGGCAGAATTCAAGCAGGGCCACCAGTTCCTGAAGAAGCGGGAACAGCATCTCCTGGACCAGCTGGCCACCCTGGAGCAGCTGCTCACGGAGGGCAGGGAAAAGTTCAAGACCCGGAGCGTCGGGGAGCTGGCCCGGCTGGCTCTGGTCATCTCCGAGCTGGAGGGCAAGGCCCAGCAGCCAGCCGCAGAGCTCATGCAGGTGAGAGGCCTTGCTCGGGAGGTGAGGGTTGGCCGGCTTGCTAGGCCGTCCTGGGACCTGGGAGCTGCTTTGTCTCGGGCCTTGGCTTTGCCATCTGAAGCATGTACCGATACTCTTACCCTCACTGGGGGTTACTCAAACATAAGGGAAGACAATGGGCCTGTTGTTTCAGAAATTAAATGGTCTATGTGAACTGTTCAGAAACTGAAAAGTGCTGTGAAGGTGGAAGGGAATCCCTGCCCTCCGTCTTTACCGCTCCCCCTCGGGTCCTCCTAGGAACAGCTTGGTAGAAGTGCAGGGTGGTTCTGGGGGTGAAGAAAGGTGTCGTGGCGGAGGTGAGGGAGGCCTGAACTGTCCACGACCCAGAGTGTCTGGGTGAAGGGGGATGGAAATGCTGGGGTTTTAGCTGGGACTGTGGAATCAACCCCCAGACAACTGGGTAGAGAGAGGTGCGACGCCTGGAGTGCTCCCTGGAGGAGGTGGCTGTGACGCTGAGAGCAGGTTGTCAGGTGTGAACTCCTCTTGCACCACTGAAACCAGGCTCAGCAGCCTTTGGAGGGCTGGGGGCTCTAACTCCATCCCGATGAGCCAGGAGAGGGAGGATCTCACCAACATGCATGTTTTGGAGTGGTTAGGCCTGTGTGTCAGCGGCGAAACCACCAGCCTCTCTAGAAAAATCAGGTCCCTGGCCGGTGGCAGGGCACAGTGAGGGCCAGGAGAGCAGCGGTAGCCGGCGAGTTCCCCAGCCTGTGGCCTGTGCAGGCCATGGGAAGAGCGGCTCTGCCTGCTGCTGCGTTGTGGATGCACTCCATGCTTCGGCAGAGCTCCAGCGAGTGGGCGGGGTCTGTCCCCAGGTGGGGCAGACCAGGAGTGGGTTGAACTCGAGCCCCTGCGTTCCGACTCCCAGACTCTGCTGTTCTTCTTTCCTCTCGTTTTGTCTAAAGTGTCTCGGGCCCCTCCTTTTCTCCAGCTGTTATTCTGTCCCCTCAGATTCCTCCTGTCAGACTCTGCCTGGGTCCCCGCTGCCTCTCCCTTGCCCTGCTCTCCATGGGGCACTCCGTTGTGCATCTCTGAGCCAAAAGAGCCCCCTGGCTGGGCACGGTGGGGCTGAGACGTGTCTGTCCAGAGCTGGGACAGTGCCTGAGGGAAGGGAGAGAAGGCACTACCTGTTCAAATAAAACCAGTGTGGGAGACATAGGTGCTGGTAGGCTTTGTGTGATTGTTTGGGTTTGATTTAGTTACAAGGAAGTGGACAGCTAACTCCATAGTTATTGTTCATATTTACTGTCAAGGAACAGCAAGAGGGGACGCCAAATAGGGTCCAGAAATCTGAGAGAAACAGAGGAGAAAGGGAGAAGCAAAAGGCAATGTGAGAAAAACAAAGACCTTTGATACAGGGGATGAACAGGGAAGGGGACCCCTCCGGGCTGGGCCTGCCAAGAAACGCTAGTCGGACGCTGGGTGACAGGACGATACAACCCACAGGCCGTGCAGGTGGCATGTGTGCCTCCCCTCCCCCGTTAGCCCTGTCCGCCCAGGGCGCCTTCCTGAGCATCCTTGGTTCATAATCAGAGATAGTTAGTCCCCCACAGACAGGGGCTTCAGGTGAGAAGGGTCTCCCAGCTACTGCCCCCTGGAGCCGGGTTGGATGTGCGGCCCTCCTGCCCCTTCCCTTGGCAGGGCCCGTTCTCCACCCTGCTCACACCGTTAACCCTAGGTTATGCTTCTCTCCTGGTTCGGTTCTGTCTTCTAGCAACTCCCGTATCATGGTGTGTGTCCACTTGGCCCCACTCAGCTGGCTGCTGGGAGACAGTTTAGGAAGAGTTGCCATAACTCCACAGCGAGTCTTTGTGCAGTTGCTTTGTCGTGGGGGCAGGATGTAGCTGAAGCTCTGACTTTGACTCTCTTTCCCTGGAGAAAGCCCTGTAGCCAGGCCTTCCAGAGCCTTCTAGACCATATCCTGCACACGCAACTTGGTAGTTCCTTTAGTTTCTCAGATGTCACCCTCACCGGGAAGCCAGCCCACCCTCACCCAGTCCCTTCATTCTTCTCTCTTCTCCACCAGGCTTGTCCTGATCACTGACACATACTGGTATTTGTTACAGTGTCTGCTTCCCTGCAGGGATGTCAGCTTTGCCTGAGTAGGGTTCGTGTGTCTTCCTCCATTTACTGCTCTCTTCCAAGCTTCTCCTTTAGTGCCTGATACTTAGGAAGGGATTTGTAGAATGAGTAAGAGGAGGCAAAACTTCAAAAGAGTACCACGAAGTCTTTAGACTTGCAGACGGAGGCTCTGAGCAGCACCTCACAAGAATCCCTTTCCTACCCATCCGGTCCTCCCCACCCCTGCTTACCCTCACGTGGCCAGCACGCTGTCCTTCCTGTTTAAGCTGCAGCCTGTCCTTGATTGGCCTCAACCAGTGTGGCTGCTCAAGTCTGTCTAGAACATTCTGGGACACTCTGCTTCCCTCCTCCCTCCACCGCCCCCACCCTGGCTCAGGTCGTCCTGGTCTTGCTGGTCCACAGCGGCAGCCTCACTTCCCGTTCTCAAGGCACCGGGTCACGCAGGGTTGTGGTTAGCTGCTGACTGGTAGCTCAGGTTAAACAGAAGTGTGTTCCTGTCTCAGCAGTTCAGGGGCAGGAGGTCTAGAGAAGACGGTGAGGTCTTCATGGAGCGGGGTCACTTCCATCTGATGGTTCCACCAGCTTCTGGGCATGCAGTCCTCAGCTGTGTGCTCACCCCCATGTCCAAAATTCAGCTCGGGAGAAAAAAAGGACTAGAAAGCAGTTTTCCCTTCCTTCCATCCATCCATCCATTCTCCCATCCTCCCTCCCTCTGTTGCCTTGTCTGCCTTCCCTCCCTTTTTTTTCCTTTTCCTTCTCTTTTCTTCCCTTTCCTTTTCTTTCCTATCTGACAGACCCAGAAATCGTAGTCATTGCTTTCTTTCACACCCCCTTTGCTGGACCTTAGTTGCGTGACCAGTCTAGGCGGTGTAGTTCCAGGGTGGCCAAGTGCCCGGGTGACTCCAGGGTTCTGTCCTTGGAAGTAAGAGTATGGGTCCTGGAGGGCACTTGGCTGTCTCAGCCTTGTGTAAAGCTGATCATGGAGTCTGTTCCCTGCTTGAAACCCTTTGGTGGCTTTTCCCTACACATGGAACAAAATCCTGAGTCCTGCCCTGTAGCCAGCGGTGCATGGCCTGGCCCCACCTCCTTCCCCATGCCCTTTCCCATGCTTTCCTGCCCCACTCACTGGCCATGCTTTCTGCTCCTTCAAGCTTTAGCTCTGCTGTCTGCTTGGAGATCCTGGCCCTGTCGTTTCTGCCTCCAGTGGCTGCTGTCACTGTGATGGCTTTGCTTGCTTTCTGGTTGTTTCGTCCAGTGCCCCAGTAGAAGGTCAGCTCCCTAAGGGAGGATGTACTCTGCAGACTGCTGTCCCTGCCTCCAGACTGCGTGGGTGCGTGTGAGTGCAGCCTTGCTCAGGTCGTGTTGATGCTGTGTTCTCTTCCTTCCAGGATACCAGAGACTTCGTGAACAGGTAAGAGTTTGCTCTCCGCAGTGTGCACATCCTCAACCTCTCCTTCCTGGGCCATGATCAGGTGCGTGAATGAGCTGTGTGGTGCCAAAGGTTCCCAAGACCCTGGTTCCCCTGGTGGCTTCTGGGAAGCAGGAGCACAGCCTTGTGCCCTGGAGGCTGCTCGCCCCGCACTTTGTGTGATGCCAGGTCCTGGGCCCCTGAGCTGTCCAAGGTGGGGATGTGGGGGTAGAAACCTGGCTGGGCAGACAAAAGCACTCCCAGGAGGAGTCTGGGGGTCTTCAGTCCTGCTCAGTGGTGTCTTTGCACCAGTTTTTCTGCCTCTTGATGGGAGGTGATGAGGCCTTTCGTGCCTCCTTCGTTGTAGTCACAAGGTTGAGAGAGAAATGAGAGGAGCTGCTAACAGGCTGCCGTCTCCATCGTCTTCTCAGGTATCCACGGAAGAAGTTCTGGCTTGGAAAACCCATCCCTCACATGGTTAAAAGGAAGACCGGAGAATTCTCAGATAAAGTCCTTTCTCTGCAGCGAGGCCTGAGGGAATTCCAGGGTAAGGGTCAGCCGGGGCCACCGCCTAGAGAGAGGGCACCTGGCTCCTCCCGTGGTGTTCTCTGACCTCCCCTTCCCAGGGCTCCTGATTGCAGTCACTTTCCTGCTTGGGGTCTGGGATGGAGCCCTGTCAGGATGATGTCATCGGTAAGGAACGGGTTTGAAGGTCGTCACTACCCTCTTCTCTCCCCAGGAAAACTGCTGAGAGACTTGGAGTATAAGACAGGTGAGTGTGCCAGGCTGGTCCAGATCCGACTCAGAAGACCCCTAGAGCTCTGGCTGCGCCCAGCTCCCAGGTCCCCGACTCTTCTGCAGCAGGGAGAATTTCTCAGCTGCAGACCAGAAGCCTCTGCTCCTTGGTCTTTGGCTGGCCTCTGTGGAGTTTTGGGCACTTTCCTGCCCCGTGTGTGGTGGTTCTGTCTGACCTGTCTTGAGTGCAGAGGCTGCCCCTGCCCAGGCAGTGCTCTGCTGCCAGGTCATGTACTGCATCGTCCCTTCAGGAGACGCTGTCTGTAGACCGGGGCATGAGTAGCGCCCCTTGGACTGTGCAGCGTGCCAGCCCTGCCAAGCACTTGCAGAGACCAGTGGCTGCTTTCTGGCCTACCTGTGACACTGGCTTCTTCCCTTGTCCCTGCAGTAAGTGTCACCCTGGACCCACAGTCAGCCAGCGGGTACCTGCAGCTGTCGGAGGACTGGACGAGCATAACCTACAGCAGCCTGTACCAGAGCACCTACCTGTACCCCCAGCAGTTCGACTGTGAGCCAGCCGTGCTGGGCAGCAAGGGCTTCACCTGGGGCAAGGTGTACTGGGAGGTGGAGGTGGAGAGGGAGGGCTGGTCCGACGAGGAAGAGGATGGGGATGAGGAGGAAGAGGGGGAGGGGGAGGAGGAGGAAGAGGAGGAGGAGGAGGCGGCCAGCTATGGGGACCGCTATGATGGTTGGGAGACGGATGAGGATGAGGAGTCGCTGGGGGATGAGGAGGAGGAGGAGGAGGAGCAGGAAGTGCTGGAAAGCTGCATGGTGGGGGTGGCCAGAGACTCTGTGAAGAGGAGGGGAGACCTCTCCCTGCGGCCGGAGGACGGGGTGTGGGCGCTGCGCCTCTCCTCCTCCAGTGTCTGGGCCAACACCAGCCCCGAGACGGAGCTCGTGCCTGCGCTGCGGCCCCGGAGAGTGGGCATCGCCTTGGATTATGAGGGGGGCACCGTGACTTTCACCAACGCAGAGTCTCAGGAACTCATCTACACCTTCACTGCCACCTTCACAGGGCGCCTGGTCCCCTTCCTGTGGCTCAGGTGGCCGGGAACACGCCTCCTGCTGAGACCCTGAGCCCCAGCCACAGATGTGTCATTTCTTCGGGGGCCCAGGACTCTGGCGGGGAGGGGTGCCTGGCAGAGCACGTGGAGCAGAGGGAAGACGGACCTCTTGCCCACTGCCACCCACTTGGCACCACGGTGGCCCCGGACCTCACTCAGCACGCTCCGGCTGCGTTGCTCTAGCCAGCTTCTCTCCCCGCTGTTGGTTTCCCGTGGGACCTTCTGACCGGAAGTCCATGAGGACCTTTCTTCCGTTTGGTCACTCGTGCCCCCACGCCGCGCTCTGTTGGGTGAGAAACTGAGGCAGCGTTTTCTGGCCCAACGTGGTGCCTGTGCTGGCTGGTCTTGAGAAGGACATTGGTTACATCTGAGACCGTCTGGATGTCTTTCAAACACTGTGGGCTCCCCATTCCCAGATCTCTGCTCCCCCTCCTCCCTGGCGTTTTGAGCAGACCGATGCCCACCCCAGCTGGGAGGTAAAGGTCCGTAAGATGTGGAAATAGAGAGTCAGAATCCGCTCGGGTGGAGGAGGCGTCCCAGGCCATGGGCCCAGCTGCTGGAAGCGCTAGTACTAATCACTTCCCCACGGCACCGGGCTCAGCAGTTGGGTTCCCATGGCTGGGGCCTCCCTGGAACCGTCTCTCATCTTGTGGGAGGATCTGGGCCATGTGATGAGTTAACAGCTGTGATCAGTGATGGTTAAGTTACCCGCCAGGGTCCTTGTGAGGGGAATTTGTAAAAGGATCCAGAACATCTCGCTCGTTACCCATCGTCGGAAAACCAACCGGATGCCAGGAGATCAGCGCCTCCCCGCTCCAGGTGCTCCCATCTCTTCAGAGGTGCGAAGCTTGTGTCGCTGGCCCTGCTCAGGGCTCAGGCTCCCTTCCTCGCAGAGGCGCGGAGAGAAGACGGCTGGGCAGGGAGCAGGGAGGCAGGCGGTGGAGTCCAGGTTTTCCTTCCAGAGGGGAATTGAAGGCTCAGTACCTGCAGACCCAGACCAAGTCCCCATCCTTTTTCAGGGACCCCCTAGTGCCCCCCCAGTTTAACATGAGCCCCACAGTTCAACCAAAGTAATCCCCAGTCTTCATCCTCACCCACCCCAGGTGCTCACCGGTGCCCTGCTGCCCCCACCCAGACTGCACCCAAGCACTGTGGGTCTCGGTGGCCTTTCAGCCGCCATGAACGTCGTCCCATACTCCCCGACCCATGTCACATGCTGCCTGAGTTGCACCTACATCTTATTTCTGCCTCTAGTTTTGGTCAGCTCCTGGAGGGCTGACCCCATCTCTTAAAACTTGTATTCTCCATGGCACCTAGCACAGTGCTGAGCACAAAGTAGGTGCTCAATAAAGACTTGTTGAATGAATGATCTCAAAATACGTATTTTTTTATTATAACTCAGCCATCACCCGAGTTCACTGTGGCTTAGAGAGTTCCATTGCTACTGAGAGCCCAGGGTTTTCTTTGTGTCCAGGACTCCGTGACCCCTTTCTGGAAGTTCCAGAGAAGGTCCTCCGGTGGACACGCAGCAGCTGCCACTGCGGCTCCACCTGGTTCTTCTGCCTGGCGGTGGTGCCCTGAGCCAGCTCCAGCGCCGTGGAGCAGGGGTGACTCCCTGAGAAGGGTGGTGGCAGCCGGAACACCATGCTCCTCCCTTGGGAGATGGCAGTGCCCCGGGAGTGCAGCCCACAGGGACTTCATCTTGCCTCCCAACGCGTCCGACCATTTAACCATTTGTGTGTTCTGATAAAATTTTTAATCCTCTTAAAGATAGAGAAGGGAGAGTTATACAAAACTACCTCCAAGACGATACTAGTAGCAAAGATGCCCTCCCTCCCATCTGGGGACTCAAAAATTTTCCCTTTTTTAATGATTATAGTTATTACTGCACATGTGATCGACTCTTTCTATGGTGTTTATTACAGAAAAGCAGTTCGCTTGCACTCCTTAAGCCCAGTCCTAATAACTGGCCTGTGGGGAAGGAAGATTTAGTACTCTGCTGTCCTGCCCCTCACCGCAGGAGCTCTTCCCACCCTGCGCTGTGCTCCCCGCATTGGGCAAGCGCGCACTCTATGGTTTTGTCTGTGTAAAGGCTGTTTACACCACCGTTCCTGCAGAACCTTCCGTCTACCCTCGTGTTAATATTGCCCTTTCCTCTCTACCCCTTGTTGCATTTCCTGTGACAGTACTAACAACACTAAGCCCTTCCCTAGTTGTTACAGATCCCAAGCTGCTTGGTTGGGGTGGGTGAGTTTTGTCTCCTGATTTTCTGGAGTCCCGCTGTTGCCCCCTCACCTGTAGATAGGCCTGGGTCTCCCTTGGTCATCAGGGTGGGTTCCGTCTGTTGCTTTGTGTTACATTTCCTTTAATTTACTTCATTTGGGTGAGCCATCGTCCAGGGCCTTCCTAAGAAATAGTGCATGGGAGTAGAATTTTTTTTTTTTTTTTAGTCTGTTTGAAACAGGGTCTCACTGTACAGTTAAGGCTGACCTCCCTGTTACTTTGTAGCCCAGGCTGGTCTTGAATTCACAACGATCTTCCTGCCTCAGCCTCCTAAGTGCTGGTATTACAGGCATGCGCCATCATGCCAGGCATGGGAGTAGAATTTTTAAAACCTTGGGTATACGGAAATTTCCAAGAGGTCCATTCAGGTATAGGATTTCTGATTGAAAGTACCTCTCCTTCAGGCTGCCAGAGGTCTCCTGGGTGCTGTTGTGGTTCTTGTGGAGCACTGCTTCCTGATGCTCTGTGTCCAGCATGTTCTTGTTTCACTGGGTTTGGGTCGCGTCTGTCTGCCCTTTGCCATCTTCACGAGCCTTGGTAGGATGCCCCCCTCCCCCTTTGTGTGCCTTTCGCTGTAGGATTTATACACTAAGTCCTGGGAAGTTTTACTGAACTATTTATTTCCCCTCCTTCCCCTTCTCTCAAATGCATTATTTCCAGCCTTCCCACATGTCTTGAGTTCATCAGGTGCCGCGATGCACCCTGTCCCTGGGCACAGCGTGAGAGCATAACAAGAGCCTCCATGCTGAAGAGGGGGTGTTTCTCAGCACAGGGCAAAGCCCCCGAAGCAAAGCAGAGGAACAAGGCTTTGATTGAGTGAGAAATGCTGGGCAGCTGTTGTGTCCCGACACTGCTGGCGGCCTCCCTTTCCTCAGGGAGCTGCGCAGTGTGGACAGTAAAAGTAAGCATAGCAAATACAAAACACAAGCTAAGTGCAGTGGCAAACAGAAGTGTAATTACTTCTAAATGTTCCAGTTGGAGGCTGGACCTCGTGGTGCATGCCTGAAATCCCAGCACTCGGGAGGCTGTGGTGAGTTCAAGGCCAACCTGGGCTATGAAGTGAGCTCAAGGGCAACCTGACCTACATAGTAAGACCCTGTCTCAAAAATTTAAAAAAACTATTTAAAGAAGTGATTGCAGAGAGGGATCTGGAGATGAGCCTTTTTGGAATGGTGGCTCTGAATTCGCCTGGTAGGAGAGATGGAGAGAACAAATTTGGAATAGTTTGGAGGGCAGAGTCAAAGAGGTCACTGATGAAAGCAAATGGGTTGCGGTGGTCAGAACGCGAGATGGGATTTGACCACTGAGACTAGAAGATGACGTTTAAGGGTGATGGGGTAGGCTTGGAGGCACAGGCCCAGCTTTGCTGTTACATTTGAAATACCTACTGGGCATCTAAGTGGGAAACTTCCGCAGAGAATTGGCTGTAAGAGGTCCCGCTGAAGCACAGACTGGGGAGAGAAAACACGCTTGCATTTAAAGCCATGGCATACATGTGAAGATCAAAACTAGGACAACGCCCGTAGCGGTCTCAGCGCCAGTATCTGCAGGCTGTGCAGGGCTGGCAGCAGGAGAACCAGCAGCCTAGGGAGGAGCAGACCTGGTGATGCTGGGGGCTGTGGGCAGGGCGTGCCCGGCTGGTGTATGCGGTCATGCGTGAGGACGGAGGCGGCCGGTGGATCTCGGAGGGTGGAAGGGCCGGAGATGGAGTGAAAAGAGTGATTGTACCCAGTCCGGGCCCAGGCCTGCGCTAGGTGTGCCGTGCGCCTCACCAGCTGCCCTCCCACCCGGCCGCCTCCAGCAAGGGGAGCTCTGAGGACTGTGACCCCAGGCTCTTGCCCTCTGCCTTGCAGGTCTGTCCGGTGGGTGCCGCCCAGGGGAGGGGGGGAAGGCGGTGTTTACTCCCCACCTTGGGCCAGGGCTTGGCCGCTGCTGGCCCCTCCCGCCCGTGGTGCTCTCTTGGGGCCACAGCTCTCCAGCCTCGCCTTTTCCGGCTGGGCTCCAGTGCAGGTCCCCTCACTGTCCCACAGCCACTGTATAAAAGGTCCCTCCACTAAACCTTGTGAGTTACTCCTGTGGGTAGTGGCCGGGAACACCGACCCGAGGGGAGAGCAGGGAGGGGATGGGCTCCCTGGGGGAGCTGGAGGGGGCTCAAGAACACACCTTTGCTTGAGTGGGCAGGGGAGGCCTCCACCCGGCTTCTGGTGTTGGCACTCACGGTAAGGCTGATGACAGTGGCTATGATGAGATACGACGGCATTTGTGTAGGTGACGTCTCAGGAGCAGGCAGCTCGTAAGTGTGCTTGTCCTGCAGACCTGAGGGCCGGGGCCCTGCTCAGCTCCTGGGCCCTGAGCTCAGAGGGGTGTGGAGGTGCCTCGTCTTCCTGGAGGGGTGGGGAACCGGTGAGAGACTGTGATAGGTTTGTTTCGTGTTCATACTACAGTTCTTATTTCTTTCTTTGGTTTAATTACGGCCATAAGTAATGGTTAAACAAGTGGCTTGCTTATCTTGTATTTGATTTTTTTTTCTTTTTTTTGTCTTTTCGAGACAAGGTCTCTCCATGTAATTTAGACTGGCCTTGAAAGCACTGTGTAGCCCAGGCTGGCCGCAAACTTACAGCAATCCTCCTGCCTCACCCTCCCCAGTGCTGGCCTTTTATTTGATTTTCAAAAGGGTGCTTCTGTTACTTAGTTGGAATTACGTTCAGTTTGATGTCTGATGTACGATTTTGTAATATATCATTATTTTAGGTACCTAAAATGCACCTAGTTGAAGCATTTTCACTTGGAAATGCTCATCTATTTCTGTGGAAGGCACCGTGTTTTCTCCTTTACCAACGAATGGCATTATTGAACTATATTTATTCAATTTTGTATTCCTGGAAGTTTTTCTAGAATAATTTCCTGGAAATTAATTATTTTCTACTTGATTCTGTTTATTGATTATATCTAGGATTTTTTATGTGTATATTGATAAGTAAAATTGGCCTAAAAACAAAATTTGTCACGTTTCTGTTAAGCTCAAAAAATGATTTGGGAAGCACTCCTTCTGCTTTTTGTAATCCTCATTTGTAGTGGGAATTATCTTTTCTTCTTTCTTTGTGCAAAAGTTTTGGTGAAACGTACCTATAAAACCTAGTAGCCCTGGTATTTATTTTCATTGCAGAGGTATTGCTACAGGAAACACTTAAAATTTTAATTTCTAATTTGATTTCGTAAGTGGCTAGAGACCTATTCATGTTTGCTGTCATCATGAATCAGCTTTTTGTAGGTTATATTTTATATGAAATTATCCATTGTGTATTGTCACTCATTAATATGAAGCTCATGGCCTGGCGTGGTGGCGCAGGTCTGTAATCCAAGCACTTGGGAGGCTGTGGCAGGAGGATCGCCGCGAGTTCGAGGCCAGCCTGGGCTACAAAGTGAGATCAAGACCAGCCTGAACTGCATAGTGAGACCCTGTCTCAAAAAGACAAAAAAAAACCAAAAACAAAATACTAAGTTCATGGTATAGTTTTGTCCTACTTTTCATTTCTAGTACTGTCCATTTATAATTTTTACTGATTAATCTTGCTAAATATTTACTGGTAGTAATCTTTTCAAAGAAAGAACTTCCAGTGTTGTTGAATGTTTTGTTTCACTTCTATTTCATTTATTTTTGCTCTTTTAAAAGGCATAGTCTATTCTTTTTAGCTTATTGAGCTAGATACTTAAATTTCACTACTTCTTTTATCTCTAATATATGCTTCTAAGACCATAAATTTCTGCTTAAGTAATATCATTGTGCATTTAAGGCTATGTCCACAAAACTTTTTGATACTCTTCTTTTCAAGAAGTGGGCTGGGGATATAGCTCAGTGGCACAAATGCCTGTCTGGCAAGTGCAAGGTCCTGAGTTTGATCCCTGGTACCAAAAAAAAAAAAAAAAAAAAAAAAAATCTTTTTAAGAAGTAGTGGGCATGGTGGTATATTCAGGAAGGTGAGGCAGGAGGATTGCTGGGGGTTTGAGGCCAGCCTGGCCTACATAGTGAGGTCAAGGCCAGCCTGAACTCCATAGCAAGACCCTGTCTTAAAAAAAACAACA